GTTTTATGTATTTTAACCATAGTGTTATAATTATCATTATGGAATATGGGTGATGTTGGCTCATTTCTTAAATTGATTAAATGTATGCCATTTATATTCATAAGGACAGCCTGTCCGCATATTATTACGTAACCCGCATACTATACGCATACTATTATCAATATTGATTAACGTACATTACAAAATAGCGTTAGAAATTCAAGACATTAACTGCCAGCTTATTTTTATGTGCTACATGGACTGCTATATCACAAAAAGGTAATTATAAAAACATATTATCATATATTTACATTCAATGACTTTATTTTACGAGATGTCCTTAAGAATTTAAGAATTTTAAAACCGAAAGAAGCACCAATTTAATAACCCCAAGTTTCGTTTTCAAATACTTATCAATGTGAGTGTGTTTAAAGGTTTACTGAATACAAGTACAAATATTATTACTCATCATGCACATTTCAAATGCTTATGTGCGTAGGCATTTTTGTAGGTTTCTTTCTTTTACGTTCAATTATAAACTCGTAATTTCATCATGGTTTAAGCATTCCCATTCTTTAAGATAAGTTATTTGAACTATATACGCGGACATGGGAAAGGAGATATAATTATTCTAATTTTCAAACTTGTGAAAATCATATTTATTGAAACAGCCAAATAGTGATTTATATACTGCTGTAAACTTGATTTTAAAACAAGTTGAATCAAAAGTGTATTGTGTTTGTGCATAATGCGTTCGAAGTCGCTATGGAAGGAGCAACACAAATATTACATATATTGACCTTCAAAGATTTAAATCGATCGAAAGTAGAACAGTTAAATAAAACCAGTATCACCAATGAAGACGGAAAAGGATATTGATTAACATTGTATTTTACTCACTGATAACCTTAAGTTTGTGAATAACATATTGTAAAGAAAAAGGAATGTAATCCATAAATATACAAAAACTGATCAATAATGAGGGGTTTAACCCAAAAATGACGGAAATTGAAAACATTTTCCGCAAGAGTTGGTTGAATATAGATTAAAATTTGGAACGAACATAGACTATTTTGTAATAATCAGAACTTAAGATCAGTCTTATATATAAACACAAATGTTTATACTTTTAATACAACACATAGCTCATGAAAAGCCAGATTTACATATATATAGAACTGAGAGAAGCTTGTTTCAAATTGAAGTTGTGTCGAAAAATATCATACAACGTTGCTTCGTTGGTCCGACAAAAAAAAAAAACTACGTAAAGTGGTTGCGAGAGCAGGCACTATTGTGTTGTTACTTATTTGTTGCTTTTTTTTCGGACCGCTAAGATCTAGCGCGTATATCCGCGGAAGGTATTTAATATACAAGCTGGCTGATAATCGTTTTCCGTACAATTATTAGAAAGTTTGTTATTCAAACAATATGATTTTATTCCTCGTTAATCATTTTTACCATTATGATCTTGTGAAGTGAGATACGGACCTCAAATCGTGACAGATCAGTCACCTCACAAGCATTTAAGGAACCGAAACCGAAGTGGTGAATACTATTGCTTTTATGAAGCAGCTTTAACATATAGAACAAAACAATTTGAATTTGAAGTCACCTCTGAACATGTAAATTGAAACATGAGCTATGAGCTATGTATATAACGAAAGAAGATTTCCTAGAAGAACATTATTCTTTACAAAATAAGTGATATGTGTTGGCTGCAAAATAGTGTCTGTAGTTCCTACTCGCCATAAGCCTATATTATTATTTAGGCCGTCATGTCTGGAAAACATAAGAACGTATATTTTAAACAGTTTTATTTCGGTCTAGTTCTTAGCTATTACTTAATGTTCTTTTGTCCTACCGTAATAAGATGATTATGACGTTATCTGGGTTCTGGTATTTAACTATTAACACATAATACGTTGATTTGTCTTTGATGTTTCTAAGCTATGTCAGTAATATGCTTTATCGTCAATTACAGTGCGGTATCTCAGATAACGCATACTTCTTTAGAAAAAAAATTGTGTTATTTGAAATAGAGCAAAGGTACTCAAGTTCACTTGGTTCATGTAAAACCGCGATGGAAGACATAAAACAACAAGGGTCAAACGACTGTACCGTGACTCAGACTAGAAAATCACGAATTAATTCAGATTGGGGATATGGCATAGGAAATGAGGTACTTGCATTTATCGGAGATCATTTCAGTCGCCTGACTTTTCTTTAATTTTGGCGGAAGTAATATAAATGCGTTTTGTTCGGGACACTTGTTCTGTTTATTGTTATATTAAACTGTAACGACAAACATAAATGAAAATGATTTGTTGCAGATATAAAACAGAAAATGGCTTCTGGGGGAGGTCTTGTGGTAGCAGGAGTACATATACATGGGGGAGGACCTGGGTGGACAGCACCTGTTGGGGCTCCTGCTGGAGTGCCTGTCTATCTCGAAAACAAAGAGGCTTATTACTTACGTATGCATTTGCTTATAGTAAAAGAGGTAGCCGCCTTGTTAAGGGCACGATTTGATTTCGCTGTACCGCCACACCAAATTCATACGACGATACATAATTCCATGAATATCTTAAATTATGGAAAGAAAAAAAATCTTCTTAATAAAACGCAATGGGGTCTTTTATTTCCGCAATATTATCCACCTTCTTCTGACACTTTCGACGTTATTCTCTTAGCTTATCTACTCAGACACATCTGTGGACTTAAGTCAAATTCGAAATGGTGGGGTGTAACTAACAACAGCAAGATTCCCGACATTGTAGTTACTGAGGAAGCTGACATTGCTCGATTGAGGAATTTAAGGAATTATGTAATTATATTACTGCTTCTTGATATAATTTTAAACTAAATTCTTACTGTGTAAAACAGTGTTTTTTTGTATTTACAATTTAAACGGTATTTTATTATTTATTGATTTTACCTCAAATTATTATTAAGATATTGCCAGTAAATCTGGTACAAATTTACAACTTATATTAATTAATGCCAGTTGTCGTTGGTGAACCGTTTGTTAATATGTGTGAAAACCTGTCAAAGTAACTTGATCAAAACCTTGATATTATATACAGATCGGACAAAATGTTTTGCAAAATTACCCGCATGGTCTTGTATGTTATATTATAGTATACATGTGTTCTTTCTACTTTGTACTTTTTTTTAATGTTTAAAACAATTGAATAGATGCTGCACAAACAAGTTGCTTTATTAGAGCCGGCAGAATTTGAAGACATGTGGGACCTAGCAGAAAAGGTACATTTGTATATAAACTGTTTACTTATTTAAAAAATCATTTTTAATTGAAATAAGTGCATCTAGACAGCTTGCCATCTTTTGTTTAAATATACATACTTTATTCTCAAATGAAATTTAAACATTTCCGCAAAGATGCTAAAGATGCAAGTTGCTTCATTGGAGCAGGAAGAATTTGAAAACATGTGGAGCCTAGCAGAAAAGGTAAGCTTGTACAGAAAAAAAATAACTTGAAATTCTGAATTAATATCTAAATTCAAAAACAATAAAAAGACCTTTCCCGACTGGATATAAGAAAACCTGATCTTTTAAATGATGTTGATTTTTTTTTTCATTTGGTCATTTTGGTTATTCGAGTCTACTACATATGTATACACACGGTCATTTGACATTTTTGCTGTTGTTGACCTCCTTTAGAAACTACCCTGTTTTTCGTATTTTGTTGAATTTCACATGTCTGTAGTATTCGTTGACAATTATAGTAGTTCTGTTGGCAGAAATATTTTTTCTCGTGTTATAGAAACATACTCGGGCCAGGAGTAGGTTTGGTGCACTTTTAGCTGGTTTAAACTCAAAAGTGGTTTAGCTAATGAACATTAAAAGTCAATTCTTTATTTTCTTGTAAAAAAGTGCGTATCGTTAGCACCTCATCTTCCCATTAGTGACGATTCGTTAGTATGTCTTGTTATTTGTATGACTGTATATGTTACATATTTCAGGCCCATAACTATTTAATTGATACCCTTAAATTTTCTATTATCTTTACCTTTCCTTTTCTTTTAATATGCCGGTATTTGTTTAAAGTTTGTACGGTAGTGTGTGGGAGTTTTAGCATAATTGGTTTAATATTTATTACTGTTTTATACCCTCTCCCTTTAAAACTCTAATGTCATTAATTCTTTGCGAATTTTCAGTTTGGTGCATTTCCAAGAGATTATTTTGTTTTCTTTTTCCTTTCATATTCAGCACCTTTCTCAAATAATCTCAATATAAACGGAGAAGATTCACCCAGGAATCGGCAAATACAGACAAAATCATGAGAGTGTTAGTCTTTGTTGAATGTTTGAATGGCATACATTACATATCCTGCTATGAACGAGCTTCCGGTCTCGTTGCCCCTGTTTTAGGAAAATAGGCGACGAAGATTGGTCTTCCTATTCGTCATTTCCTTATTCTCGCTTTCTGTAGAGCAGAACTCTGGTTCTGTTCATGTTTTTTTGTAAACAAATGTTCGGAATATGTTGCTAATCTATTCCATTCGGTTTATTTGTTGAAAAATCATAACAGGTGTCATCCCGAAATACTCCTTAAACACCTATGAATTGTTCGCTGCACAGCACATTCTTCGGACGTCGCAATTTTACCTCACGTTTTATCTATGAGATATTTTAATTGTGTGTGTCTCGTTCATGTCAACATAGCAGCAGAGGACGTCAGTGCGATATTGTGCTGAGACATTATCAGATATTTGCAATAAACGAAATGCAAATTATTTGACATGCGCCGGAAACTCAATCCAATGTCGTAAATATTGACAAAAACTAAGTAACTTGAGTATAAATGTTTTCAATGATTTGTTGTGATGTAAAATAATAAACTTATAGGTTAAATGTGTGAATTATTATTTATTGTCGTTCGAAATTAACCGTCTATAAGATTTGTCACTTTATTTTGGGACAATTCTCGTACATGTGTACTTACTAAATTTATATGCCTTGTTATTCTCAGTTTAAGAACGCATATTCACAGTTTAGTGTGGAAAGTGTTTGTTAAGTGAGCAACTATTTCTTACTTAATTTTGTAGTTACTCTACCTTACATTTGTTTGAACCAATCTAAAATATAATTCTTTTGTATAAACATAATAATTATAGCGCTGTTTTGGAATAGGTTTGAAACATCTTTTCAGACCGCATTAACAAGTCTATTCTTGAGTTTTAAAGGTGAAATTGGTTGCATAATACTTTTATTGTCGTAAGCATAAATAACTTTTATTCCGAAAGTTTTGAAATAGCGTTCAAAACTGTTTTCTTGATATTCAGGCCATTCTCCGACTTTCTTCAAAGATGAATATGGATATTGAAGATAAGAAGAAGAAACTGGATGTCTTGAAGAATAAACAATTGGATTCAGTCACAGGAAAACTGACTAATAATAAAGGTAGATTATTTGTAACTTGAAGTATAAACAATTTGATTCAGTTACGGTAGAACTGAGTAAAAAGAATGGTAGAATATTTGTAGTTTTACAAGTAGTTTTACTGGGAAGTGAAAAATTTAAAGGTGTATTACTACACCGATGTAAAGTATTTGAACATACCATTTACTGAAAGATAAATCTAACTTTTACCACAGCAATACAATTGTGTCTGGAAAATAGTTTATAAGATACTTTTAGTCGAACATATTTATGTTTATTTTGACAAAATTGCGACATTTGTCATGTTTCAAAAATATTTCCAGTATAAAGAATTTGTTGTATAATGGAAATAACTACACTATCTAAACAGATAAACACGTGGTTATACTAGTTGTTTATTAAGGAAAGGTTGAATTATATTGGCTGCAATACTTGAATTGCGTGAAAGCGAGTCCCAACATAACTGTTATAAACATGGAGCACTTTTTGATATAAATAATTATGAATGACTCGTCAGTAAATCTGTTTGATGCAATCATAAAATATGACATATAAGGAGCTGTGTTCTGACAATAAATTGGTCGGTGAATGAATAGAGGTAGCGATTTAAAGTGAAGCAACAAGTAGTTATAACATTCAGAGATTGCATTAATTGTCACATGCCTGATTTTGTATAGAGAAGTCAAAACATTAACATCATATCACCTTTTCAATGTCCGACTTCAGATCACAGTGGTAGCAGTCAACCAATACTGTCTGTGCAAGATGAACAGGAAAGTGAACAGATGTCACAGGAATATTCTTGTTTGTATGACGGTCGCTTAATAGAGCTTACAGAAAGTACAGTAAGGAACTTAAGAAATGAAAATACCGATGAAATCGGCAAGGGTTCATTTGGAAAAGTTTATGGAAGTACGTCAAAATATTACTTAATATCACTTAAAAGGATTAAATCTAATGTTGAAATAACTTGCCTTCTAAATATTTGATATTGTTGCATTTTTATTGAGATATCACAGAATCTCAGTAATGGTTTTCAAACAGATCAACATTAAAAGGTATGTCAAGATTTGCTTGTGACATTTATTCATCTTTAAAAAGATTTACACATTCGCTGATAGTTTATAATGACAATTTCAGGTGTAAAGTGCCGCGTGGCAGCCGTAAAGTTGGCCTGTACTTCATTTCACTGTTGTTATATTTTTCTTGTTCTTCGGGGTCATTAATTCTAATACATTATAAGTGTTGAAAATTGACCAGCGCTCCAGTCGGTAGTAGGGAGCGTGAGGGATATTGCAATTATTCATTATCCCTCATTTACAGACTTAATCAAACCTAATCTGCAATTTTCATGTAATTTTACTGAATTTAATGCTTCCGAGTGATCACTTTTCCAAATATATCAATGATACAGCAACATTAAAGCAAACATATAATTATCACTATGTCTGAAAAATGTTTTGTACGAATTGAAAAGCTCTTACGTCAATATTCCCTTGCTAACCGGAAGAAAGCTTGGTTCATTTGTTAGTTCTCCTTTAACTTCAGGTGGTCGTCCATCAAAACGTTTTGGGATGGATGTTGTCGTCAAAAAGATACCTTTAGATAATGGACAAGAAAAATCCGTTAAAAGGGTACGTCCTACTTTTTTCAATGAGCTTATTGTTTGGTCATTTGCAGATGATAGGGCTTTTCACATTTTGTTAAGATTATATGCATGTAGCAGAATACATTAATAGCACCTGTCTTTTTTTCTTTTGAAACCCTTCACTTGTGTTATTTCTCTTTATTATATGCCAACTAAGAAAACACCTATTTTGGTGTGGTGATTTTTTTCTGACAATTTACAAAGTTACAGCAAAGAAAAATGAAATTTTCAAGTAATTGACCTTCAAGGTCAAAGTCATTTATAGGTAAAGGTCGAAGTCTGTCTTATTATGTTTAAGAGTTAACCTACAAGATTGTTATGTTTAAGTTTGAAGACAATCAATTCACAAATAACAATGTTTAAGCCACTAATGGCAACAATCAGCAAAAACTCAGCAAAATTTAGACATTAAACCTTGAAGGTCAAGAACATTAATGACTGAAGGTCAAGTTTAGTCTGGAATACTTGAGGATATGGTCCCAAGGGTTGTTATGGCCAAGTATAAAGACAATACACAAAGAACTTAAAATATTATGCCCAAGGTAAAAGTTTTCGCGCGGCAACACCGACATGTCTGTCGAACAAAAATGTAGAACTAGAAAGTGACAATAGTCTCTACTCTAAACAAACTTTATCTTTAACTATCGTATTTTTTCCAAATTATGTAATAAATAACAATAATTATAAGAAAATTGTACGAAGGACAATGTTTGAAACCCCACTTAAAATTTCTGAAAATACCAAGTAATTGTGCTGTGCTGCGTTTTGGGCGGCTAAACAGCCAACGGTGACGGTGGCAGCAGTTCCTGGAGACATGGGTCGAAGTTTTCGACGCAAGACGTCCGGATAGCTGTTAACGAAATGATCATCCTCTCTGTACGAACAGCAGAAGACGACATCCCGCTGGTACCAACGATGGTTTTCTATAACAGATCTTTGGAAATGAATGTCTTAACGTTATTGACGCTGCAAAAAGAACTATTATCTTGATGGTTGAATCTAGAACTCTCCCTTGCTTTCTTTTCCTCGTATTCAGCACCGACAGGCCAGCCAAAAGAAAAGCTATCTGCAATTCTTATCATCTTGTTTTATGTTTGATTTTTTTTTAAACTTTGAATATAACCTATAGCCTATGGGGCATTTCTTAAATCTATTGCCCTTCAAGGGACATCCAAATTGTCGAAACGTTTAGTCTAAGTTCTGTAGCTCTTGTTTACGGCACTAATAAATGAAACTGAAATGTCAGCTCGTAACTTTTACCAAACACTCTCGTTGTTCCACTCAATTTCCACCATGAAATCCATGTTAAAGACTCGAAACCTGGAATAAGAGATATCTTAAATTTGTGACAATTCCATCCTTACAAAAATTACCCGAATGCTAGAACGATGAGTTACGTTACCAATTGTAAGTCTTGAGTGGCGTAAAACACGCCGAGTTGTGCTTTTATACCCAATATGCATACGCTTTAAGTGTATGCAAAACATAAGAAGACGACAGTTTGCCGACTTTGCAACAGAAATAATTAAGGTGTTGCGGATACGAACAGATGACTTATTTTGCCCTATCTGTCTTCTATTCTTGTGATTGTGCAAAATTTAAAGAATAAATTGTTAAAGTTGTTTGATTGTTATCCCTTTGCCAATCATCTAAAATAGATCAAACATTTTCTTTTTCAAGACATTTTAGTCACCCTGCTCTAATTTAATAAAAGAACCACTAACGTGTCTTTAATTTCCGGCAAAATTGTGTACGTGAACAATGAATTGGTGAAAAACATATACCAATGTGTGCAAGACTTTTAAGGTTTCTGCTTTTGAAATGACCTTAAACAAACAAATAAAATTCCAAGACAGATAACTTGAAATTAATTTCGGGCGATGCTCCCAGTTTTGTTGTTGTTGTTGTATTTATTTTGCCCAGCATTTTTATATTCGTTGTGGCTGACCAGTATGGAAGTGGGGTTTAAAAAATGTCGTATATTGTGATATATATACATTCCTAAAAATATCTGGAATTAAGTTGTGCAGTATTGTGTTTCATTGTTTTGTAGGTTTCTATAAAACTGTATCAATTATTTCATTGGTGTAAAACTATTGAGTATAGAATCTAAAACATAGGTTATTTAATATGATTTGTTATGCTTAAACTCTATTATATATTGCTGGTATATCTATAGAAATATCCTAAAGACCATTGAGCAACTAGAAATGTGTCCATAGGACACGGGTGCCCCCACCGCGCCACTGTTCTGTCAATCTTTTTACTAAGTCAAGGGAAATAACTCTACAAATACTGGATAAATCCACAAGCGAAACCCGAGCTGAGCAACCTGTCCATAAGGTTTAATGACTCTATGTCAAATCCTTTTTGAGTAACTTGCGACACAAGTTGAAAATTGCAAAAAAATTCTAAGTCAAGGGCAATAACTCTAAAAATACTAAATAAATCAAGACGAAGATACCTGGTGCACAACTGTACATGCTGATCAATATGCCTGTGAAGTTTCATGACTCTAGGTCAAATACTTTTTGAGTTACATGCGACACAAGTTGAAAATTGCAAAATTTTACTAAGTCAAGGGCAATAACTCTGAAAATACTAAAAATATCCAGACGAAAATACCCAGGTGCACAACAACACATGCTGTCAACATTCCTGTAAAGTTTCATGACTCTAGGTCAAATTCTTTTTGAGTTACATGCGACACAAGTTGAAAATTGCAAAATTTTACTAAGTCAAGGGCAATAACTCTGAAAATACTAAAAATATCCAGACGAAAATACCCAGGTGCACAACTACATCTGCTGATCAACATTCCTGTTAAGGTTTCATGAATCTAAGTCAAATACTTTTTGAGTTACGTGCGACACAAAAGTGAACGGACGGACGGACGGAAGGACGGACGGACAAGGGTAAATCTAAATGCCCGCCACTTAAGTGGGGCACAAAAAGTAGTGCCTCACAAATTTTACATATATTTTCAGGAAATGATAGCATCAAGAATTGTGCACCCATTTATTCTTCCGTTGCTTGCTGCATCAATGGTTCAACAGTGTGATGGGTAAGAAACTTACTGCTTGTGCGTCATCATTGCACCACATTCATGCCGATAAGCAATTTAAAGTGACATTTTGAAAGATTGTTATACGCGAATTGCACATGTCATACGCTCGAAATATATTTGTCTGAAATTAAGATGCCCAAATGTCTGGAAAAATGACCTCTCGGAAGCACTTTAAACAGCAAAATTATATGAAAATTGCAGACCCTATTTGAATGAGTCTGTACATGAATTATAATGAAAAAGTGCAACATGCCTCACACCGCTGAGCACCGGCTGGAGCGGTACTCAGTTCTCAACACTTAAAAGTGCTGGACTCAATGATCCCGAAGGCCCAGAAAAATATAACTTAAATACTTGGCCTGTTCATTAATTTGTGAGTCACAAAATAATTGCCTCGGTACAATATTGTCCCAGGCCGGGGGTCACTCAGTAAATATTAGTGTGTGTAGGAAAAATTATTTAAGCTTTATTTGGGAAAACTTCAATGCATACAGTTTAGATATGATGGGCCCGACTCTGTGGTTGCTTAGTTGATATAGTCTTGTATGAGAAAACACATTATGAATATTATGTCTCTATATTTGGAATATATCATTGCTTAGTAGACCTCTATAAATATTTTATGAATCATGTACTTTGGGTAAAAATGCTTCAAGCTCGGAGATCATATTTGTGCCGTGTGACCTTTTTTTAAAGTCTCCCCGCAAAAATCCCATTTTCAGATTTGATATTGTTCTGGCTTATAGTATATAGTATAAAAACAGAAAAGTCTTCAAAATGGCTTTAAAAAATAACGTATTTTTTACATATTACATATTTCAGGAGAAAAGAGTTTTGGTTTGTCACTCCACGTTGCAGAAATGGTGACCTTTTCACGGTCCTTAAAGAATACAGAGAAAACAAGGATGCAAGAGTGAAACTAAATGCAGTGAAAAGAGTGAAGATTATTTTCCAACTTGCATTAGCTATCAAGTACATTCACACTGCAGTGCGTGGAGTCAGGTACCAATAAGATATATTTCTTGAATATTTTACTCCTCATTATTATGGTTTACAACTAGCTAACTGACATTTAACAATTGTGCCGTGTTGGGCTTTCTTTAGGGATTCTGTGTTTATCTATTTTATTTAAAGTTAGTAGTAAGTTGACCCTGATATATAACATAAATGCTGGTATTATGGATAAACTGGCTTAACCCAAAGTTAGAATTGCTTGCACATTTGCTGTTCTACATTGGAATAGTTAAAATAGAAGAAAAAAAGAATCCCCAAAGAAAGCCCCACACGGCAAAATTGACAATGTTACAGGCTCTGTTTGATTAAGCCTGTTCATGGACAGTACTGGAAAGTGCAAGTTACCATCCACGCCCCCTATCACAAGCTTCAGCAGAATTTAAACACGAAAATGGTGAAAGGTTGAATTTAGAAACATCCGCATATGTGTTCAGACGGCGATTATCATGTAACCTTAAATGTGACACAAAAGGGCCATTTCATGTAAAGCGGCGTATGGTTCCCAAATAAAAGAATGCATGTGCCCTAAACGAAAAAACAATGGGCGGAAGGAGATCTGAGGTTATGAACCTTTTGTCCTGTCCTTATTTGTTAAGAAACATTATGACAAAGGGGTTATTGCAAAGAAGCGTAGAATATTGAATATTAACGGAATATTTGTCATTCAATGTAAGTCTTATATCGATGTGTGTAAAAGACATTATCTAACAAACATTTTTTTTCTAGGATTGTTGAACTGATGGGCTGAACACAAACGGAATCCCCTAAAGAACGCCCAAAATGATAATATGTTGCAGGCGTGGACGGTAAATTGCACTTTTCATTACCGTCCATGAACAGACTCAATCAAACCGAGCCTGAAAAATTAACAATTTTGTTGTTTTTGACTTACTTTAGGGATTCTGTATTTCTCTCTATTCTATTACTATGCATGTAGTTACAGTACATGATATCTAGATGTAAGATATTGAACATCTGCCTGATTAATTTCTCTTACATCTTTTTCAGGAGCATTATTCTACACAAGGATATAGCGTCTAAAAACGTGTTGCTGGATGATAATTGTAACGCTCGCCTTATTGACTTTGGCTTGGCAAGGGAAGAAGATGATGAAACATCAATAGCTGGGGGGAGACTGCTATATTCGCATCCTGGGGTTGGTCATGGATGTGCAAAAGAAAGCTGGGATTATTACAGCTTTGGTGTTAGTACGTGTTTTTGTCTTCATATAGAAGTTGGAAAGTACTTTATTCTTTTTTTAGCTCTCCAGAAACGAAGGTTCAGGGTGAGCTATTAGTATCAAAGGGGGATGGTTAGGCGTCCGTCGTCATGCGTCAACAATCATCTTCTCTGAAATTGCTAGGTAGATTTACCTCAAATTAGGTCTGTAACATCCTTGTGACAGACACACTTTAATTTGTCATTTCAATTGGCCCCTTTTAGGGGTCAACAGAGCTCAAAATAGAAAAAAAAATCTTTAAACATCTTCTACTTCTAAATAAAATGATGGATGATCACCAAACGTTTATGTTAGCATTCTTACGTAGTTTTTTTATCAACTTTGCTCATATTAATTTGAAAGAAGATGCTAAAGCTAGAAATAGAAAAAAAAAAACTTTAATCGTCACCGAACTTTGTCTGTAGCATTCTTATGTAGCCTTTTATCAAGTTTGCTCATATTAAGTTGATTTGCGCCTTTAAGGAACCGATATAGCTAAAAAAGGAAAACTAAAAACATTTTTGTACTGAACTTATTGATGGATGGTCACCAAATTTTGTCTGTAGCATTCTTAAATGTTCTGTTATCACATTTGTTCAAATTTATTTGATTGACCCCTTGTAGGGGCCATTTTAGCTAAAAATTGAAAAATCTTTCAACAGTTTCTCCTATTGAACTAATTGATGGATGATCACCAAACTTTGTCTATAGCATTCTAGGGTAGTTTTTAATCAAGTTTGCCACTTTAAGGAGCAAATAAATCTTAAAATAGAAAAAAAAGCTTTAAATGTTTCTTTTTACAAAATTAATTGATGCATACTCTCCAAACTTTTTCTGTAGCATTTTTAGGTAGTCTTTTATCAATTTTGCTCATATTTATTTGACTGGATTCTTTAAGGGGCCGCTATAGTTAAAAATAGAAGAAACCTAAAACATTTTTAATGAACTTATTTATGGATGATTAAAACTTTAGTTTAAGTGAACTCATGCAACTGTAGCAGTTGTTTTTGTTTGTCTTAATGTAAATTGTCATTTTCTTATTCTCTGTGCTTTTTAAGTATCAGTCTCAATTATTTCTATTCATTCTAAATAAATATTGACCCGTGGTGCCATCCTGACAAACAGTATACATGTATATCAAAATACTGAGATGATGTAATTATTTAATTTTGAAGATAAATAAAAAGACAGATCGCAATTCCGAAAGTCATTCATAGGCAAATTGTATCAAAAATTAATGGATGGATGATCACCAAACTTGATCTGTAGCATTCTTAAAGGCTTTATTTTTATCAAGTTTGCTCAAATTAATTTTATTTGCCCCATTTAAGGGGTCGCTTGAGCTGAAAATGAAATAAAAATCAAGAAGCGTGAGTCGATATGCATTTACTTACCAGATGAACAGTAACAATGAACAATGAACATTTGTGAAAGGTTCCTATCAATTTTTACTATAAAGAAACTAATCAATGTCAGGAAACAATATATAACTAGAGAGGCAAGTTTAAGTTTATATGGAGAGTCTTTCTACAAGTTTATTTGATTTCAGAAAAAGTTATTTCCATAATCACTGAAAAACAGTTGTTCCTGGTGAGCTATTCAGGGCCATCATCGCTCTCTTGTTTACATTATTGATAAACCTTTCTGGAACACCTGATGCGAATAGATATATTGTTTTAATATGTGGCAGTAAAATGTGCAAGGATATATATATAAGATTGGTTCACTGAAAATAGAGAACAAATAGTTGTTACTTAAACTGATATTTAGATTGTTTACAAACTGATATTTAGATTGTTTACAAAAACTTTGAAACATTGGCTATTATTATAATAATTGGAGGTTCTGTGACATAGGGATAACTTCTCTTTCCTGTCGGCAAAATGTATTTCTTTGCAATATAGCAGCTTTTTTCATTCGGACAAATTCCGTCTGTTATCAGTTTGAGTCCCTGTAAAATTAACAGGGAAGAACGGATTATAAAAAGAATAATCAATGGTGAATTTAAAATTACAAACTGAACTCGGCGAATCTCATTGGCCAGTCTAAAATTAAATGAAAATGATAGTTCAAAGATTCTAAAATAAAATGTAAGGGATAGTTCTGACCATTCTAAAATATAATTTCAAGGACAGTTCTTAAATAAAATGTAAAGGATAGTTCCAAGTGAAATGTTATAATAGGAACAAGAAAAGTTCTTTCACCTTAAGGTTAATTTGCAAATGATTACCAAATTTATAAAGTCAAACATAAACAAGAAAAAGGGACACGTAGAAAAGAAGATGTCCTCCTTTTAAAATCATAAATATCAATTGGTTATAATTTAAGTTCATTGTTAACTTTACAAAATGGATATTTTCCAAGCTAATAAGAAATAATTCAATTGTCATTGTTAGACAAGCATTGCTAACATTTCTTTTTGTATAAAAAAAAACTTAGAAATAACATAATTTTACATATTAACCAGTTTTACTTTAGTCGATTATCATTTTAAAGACATTTCTTGTTATATTTTATTTGATCCGAAATTATTCTCATCTGAAATCGTTAAGTCTATAAGATCTATTTAAATTTCTTTTTTAGAAAGTAGCTTCAGTCCATAATGAATTGCAAAGTCATTGCCGTTCAGTGGATCAAAGCTTCATATGTTGTCTTTGTGCTTCTAAGCAGTTCCTTTTGATATGTACTGAAGTAAACTTGCATTATCATGCATTTTTGTTACACAAAGAACTTCATTCATCATGGAACATTTCATGTCAACTTGGAAACCACGTCTGAATGTTAATTAATTGGTCATTGTATTAGGTTTAATTGATAATGTCAACAAATATTTAATTGTTAAACTATTGTATACAAACAAAGTATTTATTTTTATTTTTACTTAAACAGAAGCAAAACAAGTGGAAAAAGTGTAATCCATCAGAAGCATTAATCACAACAAAATTACATGAACAATGCAGACTCGGTTAATTGTATATCTGAGCACTTATGATTTTAACTACCTTTGAGTGTCATATTAACTTAATCAATCAGTTGAGACTATTGGTTGCATTGAAGACTTTGAAAACTATTCAATTGATACATTTTAATATAAATAATCAACAACAATTTATTAATAACTGAGAATTATTTATATATTTATTTTCAATATTGACACATTAAATATGTGTAAAATAACTTGAATTACGAGAATATTTTAATTGTCATTTCCGGCTTCAATATATACTCATGAGAATGGTTATTAGACTGTTGTAGTTTTTTTCTAGATCATTTGCTAAATAACACAAAGCTGTGCACACTTTTATCAATCACAACGCCACAAATAATAGGCATTGCTTCCAATCTCAAAGTTTTTTTAATCCTTTATTCAATAAAATTGTGCCAAAACTTTTTGATATTTTCATCTTTATAGTGTATCGTGTAGGGGTTGCGTTCATTGAACGCTGCCTTTCCTTGTTGATCTTGTTTATCATAGTTCATATTTCATTATAATCTTAATTAAATTGTGTTGATTTCTGGTCTGATCAGATTTAATGAATGAGGTGATTTGAGCATAAAAATTCAATCGAAAGTAAGTGGGGATGCGGTTTGCAATAGCCATTCAAAAATAATAATGAAAGGTCAAAAATCATTAAAATGATTACTTTAAGATATTAGGAGTATTATTTGTATCTAGTCATGTCATCATAATTCGTGTAGACAAAACACAGTTTCAACCTAATAATTTTAGAACAGTCACGTATTCAATGATAGAACTTCAGGCGATGATCGTCTTCGTTGAAACTTCCTACATATGTTGTCCTGTATTGTATTGTTTTTGTATTGGTTTTTTTTTCTTATTACAAAATAGTTGTAAGAGAAATGATTACAAGTTTTGGACCGGAGGGCGAAGAAAACATATACTTGAAGCATATTGCAGAAAAAGACGTAAAAATGGATGTAAGAAAGATTTCTTATATATTAAAAGCGTTGAAATATAATATGTGCATTTTCCAAGTACTATAAAAAAGCAAATATACTTACTAATAATTGAATGGCAAGTTAGCTGACAATGTAGTCGGTGATCAAAATTGCTTTGCTTAAACTGTTTTGTGATCATATTTTATGATCATGTTAATTTTGTTCCTGTTATATGTTTAAATATGTAACCTAAGTATACCTCTTCAAAGATCATTATTTTTTCAGTTTTAAATCATGTTCAATTCAGGCTTTATACAGTTGTACAATATTTAAAAAAAAATATTAATGGAAGATCAGGGACAATTAAATGTGCAGTTTAATTGAGTATCCTTATATTTAACATTTGTTTTGTCGAAAAATCAAGACATTAATCAAATTCATTCATTAATTACGAAAACTGGACCTATTTTACAAAAATTCAAAAGTTTGACTATAAAGGACCGTCATATAAATGTCATACTTGAAGGATTTTAATAGGCTATCAGGTATTTTTAAATATGAATTAAATAAAACTATTTATAACAAATTTATGCAATTTTAACCCATTTGCGCCTGTTGTCTACTTTTGTAGACACTAGCAGTTATCAGTACACTAGGACCTAATTATGAGCGCACATTTGTTTATCATTGTTATTCTATACTTGTTGTCATGATAAGTGTTAATTGGACTATTTTGCTAGACAAAATGCAGACCACTACGTTATTTGCAGTGTGTTTTCAACAAGAATGTGATAAAAATTGCCTTGAAAATATTATTGAAAATGGCTAGCAGAAACAGGTATGTAAAACTTTATATTGTTTTTATTTTATATCATAAAGTATGATTGTTTTATATTGTATAATTATATTTCTGCTCAATTCCTGTTTTATAATTCAGAAATATGTATAAAATGTGTTATGACAGTCAATTTAGATTTTGTCTACAAAAGTAGACAATAGGATCAAATGGGTACGTTTTATCATTATGAAAATATTTTGTTGTTTACAGAAGATACACAGTAACTGAAATCATATCAATGCTTGAGGATGAAGGTAACTTTGAAAGGGCAGATATACATGTTCAACTACCTCCTGTAGATGAACTGACAGATGAAGATAGTGCAAGTGAAGATGAAGAAGTAGGTTACAACAACCTCAGTGGACGTCAGTTAGACCAACAAGCAACAGCGACAGTTATTCGCCTAGATGGACGTCATGTTGTTGATTCAGCATCAGACTCCGATCTAGTTAGTAATAAATAAATAAAATAAATAAATAAAATAAATAATAATAAAAAGATAAATAAATAAATACGAAGCAAGTAAGTAAATAATGTACAGTAAATCCAGTTGAGAATAAGATTTTTTATATTTATCATATTTATTTTTCAGGAAACTGACCATTCTTCAGATTCTTCTGATACAGATGAAATACGAAGTGCCTGCAAATATTGCAAAAAGACCTCAAGTAAGAATTGCACTACGGGATCCAGCTCCGCGTCCCTAACGACCTGCACCAGTAAAGAGGAATTGGGAAAATAAAGATCTACCTGAGCAAGATAAAGACAGATTCACTTGGCATGGCTCAAATATAGACAAAAGTCGATGGCCGCAAACACCAGATGGCATCTTCAACTTATTTTTTGATGATGACGTGATCAACATGATTGTTGAACAGAGTATAAGATATGCTGGTTCAAAAGGCAACCATTCGTTTTCAACTTCACCCCAAGAAATTAGGATCTTCCTAGCAATTCTGCTTATATCAGGCTATAACACTGTGCCAAGACGGAGATAGTTCTGGAGCCGGGATGATGACGTAAGGAATGAGGCAATAGCTCGTACAATGCCGCGAGACAGATTCGACATATTGGTGCGATATGTACATCTTTGCGATAACAACAATCTTGACAGAGAGGACAAGTTTAGCAAAGTAAGACCACTGCTATGTCTGCTGAATGAGCGCTTCTTGTTATACTTCTTGAAAGAGAAAAACCTTTCAATCGACGAAAGCATGATCCCGTACTATGGGCGACACGGAGCGAAACAGTTTATTCGTGGGAAACCAATTAGGTTCGGTTATAAGATGTGGGCGTTAACGACAGCACTTGGATATGTTTTACAATTTGAGCCCTATCAAGGGGCAAAAGGCCACTAAACCCATGATCCTGGCTTCCTTGGAATGGGCGGAGCAGTAGTTATGGACCTGCTTTCAGAGCTGCAGAAAGATGATGCATACCATCTGACTTTTGATAATCTATTTACTTCCCTGAAGCTCATGGACCGGCTTACAGATATGGGAATATCTTGCACAGGAACCATCCGTGCCAACCGAATAGAAGATTGTCCTGTCAAAGATGTAAAAGACATGGGAAAATCGCAACGAGGAAACTATGATAAAAGGTATGACGCACACAAAGGTCTGATAGTGGTGAGGTGGAATGACAACAATACAGTGAATGTGGTGTCAAAATTGCCATGGAGTTGAACCATTGCAACAAGCAACACGGTGGTCAAAGCAGGCAAAAGCTAGGGTGCGCCTTCCGCAGCCATACCTTATAAAGCATTACAACCAGACAATGGGAGGTGTGGACAGGATGGATCAAAATGTTGAGACGTATCGTATCTCTATCAGATCCAAGAAGTGGTGGTGGCCAGTGTTTATGTATTGCATTGACCTTGCGGTGCAGCAAACCTGGCACATTTACCGTGCTACTGATGCAGGATTGAGGCAACCATTAGATCTGTTAGGTGTCAGACGAGCTCTGGTTACTGTGCTGCTTGCTCAGGGGCGTACACCTGCTGTCAGCCCTGGCAGACCAAGAGGTAGGATGAGGCCATTGTCAAGAAGAATTCCAGACCATATCCGACTTGATGGTAAAAATCAATACGCAGAGCCAGCAAAGAAGTGCGCTGTTCATTGTGTGGAAAAAAATGCAGGACACAATGTTCCAAATGTAATGTTGGAGTGCACAGGAAATGCTTTGAAATGTTTCACAGTGTTTAGGTACTCATACGATCAAAGCCAAAAGACATGAACAATAATAATTCATATTCAGAATGAATTTCAGAGTGAACACTTCTGTGCCTAATGTCTACTTTTGTAGGAAAAGTAATAGAAAACATTGCCTGTATAAACTTAAAGAATTTTTCAAGTAAAAGTTATCAAATAAACCAACAATAGGTTATCTGGACATATATTCTATATGTGTTTTACACATACCCATTTGCGCCTGTTGTCTACTTTTGTAGACAAAATATTAAAACACTAAAATAAAAAATACAGTACTTATATTTGAAAAATAAACGGATATATGTTATAACTATATGGTTACTATATGTTTTATACATTTCTTATATAAAATAAAATTCCGGCACAAATGGGTTAAGAAAAAACTCGCATTAACTGTCACGGTCCTTTTATAGGTCATGGTCATATTAAATTAACTGAATCGCTCATTATGATAATTTATGTAAATTTTGGTTTTGGTTTGTTTCCAAGTAGTAATAAAATCTGACCAGTAATATGTAATAAAAAAATGGTATGGCCAATCTTAGAAGAAAATAGTTTATGTTTATCATTGGCCAATCTTAGAAGAAAATAGTTTATGTTTATCATAAAGTTCATTTTAACTTCTATTTCAATTTTTACTACCAGTGCTATCAAGCAAAAGATTGTTATACCCAAGAATGGATACAAGACATCCAATACAAAAGTATAGTCACTGCAACTTCAATTAAATAGCTTGAGAGCAAGAACAAGGTCATTTTTAGGACGATTTTAACTTTTATTGCTCACCTTGCTCAGCAAGTCGCTTATATTTTAAGAGTTGTTTTGACTTTGTATGAATCTTATCAGCCCATTGTTGAAAAATTACCAGATTTAACAAAATGCAATAATTCTTTCATAAATGTCAAAATCCTAGAAACGTGTTTGTCTGACCTACTTGGAGATATTGTTATGTCAATCAATAGCCAGTTTTAGCTGATTTCATCAAACATAATGGAACTTACTTTAAACAAATTTAAATATTTTTACTGAAGAAGCAAACAAAGAAGACTAAACAGACTGACGGAAAACTACCGGTACTATGCCGGTCAAACAAACTCTAAACTCGTTGCATCTCATTTAGAGTTAAATCTGTTGGGTTTTGAAAGCATCAGTTATAACGACCCTTACGTGCATTTTAATCCTAAAATGGTGCAAATTGCATAACTTTACAAACTTGTGATTGGCATTTCGTTTAAAGAAATTATACGTCAGAAATCTATATATTTTCATATTCTTCAGAATTGTCAAATATGTACACAAAAATGGTTTAATAATGAATTACGAGCATGTTTAACTGACATGTTTAACACTCGATGAAAGTAGCCGTAATCGTGCTTTGATGTGTCACAATCATAGAGCAAAATGTAAACAAAGTAGTATTGTGAGTTCCATACAAAATACATAATTCACGTAAATTATTCCAATTGCCAACAGGGCAAAGAACCCCCCAAAAAAAAAGACAGAAAAAATAACAGTTCATTTATATTGCAAATGGGTATTTGTTAGATTGTTAGAAACTGTAACCAGATACAACAAATAAAGAGAATAAAAAAGAAATTAGCAGTTCTGAGGCATTATGGGTCTTTAACAAACAAACATGCTACATATGTATGCATTCAAGTTTTTGTTTGATGAAAACAAGTGAAGCATTGAATAATTACAAAACTGGCTTGCCAGTCGGGGAATATAAATTTGTCAGTGTTATTTCAAACTGAACAAAATAAGTATTTGAAGAAGGACTCGCACAAACTTAGGCATTTTCTTGTAAAATATATCTGTTAGCTAATGTCTCTGCCCCTTCAAAATGAAAGAATATCTTATGGATATTAAATTTTCATACTGAACTTAAATTTAGACTTAACACTGATTATTTTCTAAACAGAAAAAAGAGAAAACAATAAAATTATAAAACTAATTACTTTAACTTTAACTTGTGTAATCGTATGTAAAATACTCTCTAAGGATATGTAAAAACTGTGCTAAAATAGTTATTTACCCATGCATCCATATAGAATTATATATAACAATATGAATTAACCTTTCAAATGTGTGCGTTCATTTTGTTGACACATGATTATGTACTTATATTTTATAAATATAAATAGCCGCATAATCATACCATAAGTAAAATCTCTCGAAAAGAATAAGCATCACTGTATTAGTATTGTGCATTTATTTGCAAGTTTGATTCTTTTACAGGAAAACATATGGAAATATGATGAATTAGGAAATATAGGTCAAAAGCTGACTGAACTTTCAACATGTCTGCTGGAACAAACTGATTGGAAAGTTAGAGATTTCACAAAAAATGTCATTGACGAGTTACATGTAAGAACTTAAACCAGATAAAAACACCATAGAGTTGCTCTTTAATTTTCATGGAATAATTGCATGATCAAATCGATTGTGTTCTGCCCTACCTTCTCACTTTTCGTTTTCTTCCGTTCATCTTATCTTCTGATGACCTTGTTTCATTTATATTGCTTTCGTAATACCATCTTTGTGTTAAGAAAACAAAGTCGCACAGAAAATAGAAATTAATATTTGCATAGCAAAACAATTAGGATTTAAAACAAAGGTTACTATTAGTTATCATATTAATATTTAGAATATCATCTGTTTTATTGATATTGTTTGATCATTTTCTTGTTAAAATTGATGCCTGTCTGCTAATTCAATACTGTAATAATGTTAATAAACCATCTGTCAGAATGTTTTTCATTCCGCCAGACAATATGGATACATTTAGGCGAAAGCTGCCTTCTTGAGGTTTCAAAAGGTGTTAATGACGAGACATGCCATTCCTGTATGATCAATAAAAAAGGTAAGTATTGCTTCTTAAATATTTACGAGTAATTTCCCTGACACTTTCTTGTTTGAAAAAATATGAGTTAATTAAAAGTTAGAGATTAATATATATATATATATTAAGACCCTAGGTGAAACATGGATAATGGTAGTCATAATGATATATCTTTAAGTTTTTCTATAGGATATATTTGTAGCAGTCCTCGTTCACCAGTATACGATAATGCACCCTTCATTAACTTTTATTTACAAAGTGGACATGTTTTTACTGGTTCAAAATTAAAAAAACGCTCGTGCAGCATATGTTATGAAGTGCCTCAACGGTAGAATTGTTTCTGACTATAACATATGATCTAAATCATAGACAATATGTTGTGTACAGGCAACTGTTTTGAATGTCATAATTTATTCTGCCTACAAATAACTTAATAACCAATTTAAAAGTAAAATGCAAAAGAACCAATTCATATATTTTTTTTTCAATTGTCAATTCCTCACTTAATTCATACTTCTTCTTGCGAAAAAGGAAAAATAAAATAATATCAGATTCATTATTATATCTATTAATACCTTTTTTCATCTAAAATAGGTTTAAGGCGCGAAATGAATTTGGCAATATCAAGTTTTGCACCTTGTAGTCCGCTTGTTAGCAATTTCGTGTTCGCTCTGTAATCGAAGAAGAAATGAACATCCTTGGCAGAAATATTAAATTAATAAATTGATATGCAAAATGCAGGTTTTGGTTTTTAAGTCTAAATGTGTGAAATAGCAATGTTCAAATCTTTAATATGTTTTACATGTAGCATTTTCTGTTGAACGTTACAAAGGTGATGAAACCAATGTATCTTATATACATTATATATATATATATAATTACATGTGTATATATAATTAGTTACCCCGGCCCCAGGGCGTGGTATGAGTGACTCAAGATATATATAATTTATACACGTATATTAGTATTTTTATATAAAAACCACAATGCCTATAAAATATAGTTGGCATATATTATCGTCTGTGAGACTTCAACAAAGTTTTAAACAAATGATTATCCTGGTGACAAAAAAATCTTCCTTTTGAAAAATATACCTAAATTAAATAGATCTTTATCAAAAATATTTTAAAGGACTTTTCTTCATAATTATCTTGCATATAGCAAAGCATACATATTTGCCATGTATCATAAAATACATTGATAATTTTGTACAATTCATAAATTGTTTAGAGTTTTTTTTATTTCTGAAAATTGGCACTTCTAAAAGCCAAGCTTAAGTTCATAAAAATGTCGATAACTCGTAACCATACTGTAAACTTTGTCTTTGCATACAGGTGTCATTTACGGCATATAACTGACCTTTGTTGTTAATTTTACCATTCCTTATAATGCAAGTTAGGAGAATCTTACAATAATACAAACACCTTGTTATGTTATTATGAGCTAATTCTGACAGCGTTTGATTGTTGGATGTCTATAAATTAGATGCTTTTGCTTTTTATTACAGCAAAACAAACATCCATGAATCAGAGGCACATTGAAAACTGCAAACAAAAAATTGAAGTGTGCATAGCTTGTGAAAAGAACAGTTTTCTTAACCCAATTACATGTTATTGTGGGTTAGAACTGACACCTTCAATTGGTAAGTCGGCTAACGTGTATATTCTCACTGTTGTCAGATAGCTTAGGTTAGATAACTGTTTTGCTTTTAGAATATTGATTTTACTAAAGATAACTATTTAGTATTTTTATCTACACTTTTACAAGGTACGATCTGTTACAATTATTAAGATAATGATTTAAAAATTATATTTAGTTATATTTAGTTTTAGATAACACAGTATTTGAGCCACTTTTTATTAACTTGGAAAACACCCCCAAACATGTAGAAACGTAGATATAATTGCTTCATTGTTATTGATTATAACACGCATCTGAAATGTTCGTTCAAGATGACTAGACTAGCATTGCAGATTAATCATTAAGACCTTGACATTCAATGTCAAATCACTGCATTTTTTCTTCTTTTTTGTTTACTTCTTGTTGTAACTGGCTATTTTGTTATATTTGAATGAATGTCTTCATATTTAGACACAATGTCTTTTCGGACAAGACGTCAATGAAGATAAAACTAACATTGACCTTTTTTAAAGCAGCACGCCTCCAAATTCATGTTAATTTTCATAACATTTTTGAAATGTATTTAAAAGTAAAATAATGTGAGGTAAACAAATAAAGTAATTTACATATTGCAATCGGCATTTACAAGCCACGAAAATTACCAAAATGTGGTCAACAACAGCAAAAACAGCCCTAACTGCGTTAGTAACGCAGTAGAAATATGGTAATAAAATACTGTAAAGCCAGTGTTAAACCGCACATAACATGTTAAATATCAATTAGATCTTGAATGTTTTTACCTTTCTTAAAGATCCTGCATGTTTTGTGATACCACACTTTCAGAAAATTATATATGTATATACTTATGCAAATAAAACAATTTTCAAACATCGAAGAATATGTAAAATGTGTACTGCAAATATGTGGCCACATTATATTTAATCAATCAATTACATGCATTTATTTCTTATTGGAAAATTTGACTAAGAATTTTTAGAAAATAAATTTCTAATTACCTCCCTTTATTTACATGAAATGTTAAATTCGGTAACATCTTTATAAACAATGTTTATTGGAACTTACAATATTGAAATTTCTTAATTTGAGCATCATATTTATGAATTAAAACCATGAAAAAATTGTGTAACAGGATCTTTAAAAGTTTAGTGCAGTTTTTTCAATATTGATTTTCTTGAAATATTTTGGATCATCTGGAGGAGTGCAGCTTTAAATGACCTTGGTATTGAAGGCGTAATCATTGAATGTTCACTGTTTCACCATGATTGGCGGTAAAACTTTGTAATAAGTATAATGAAATCATTAATACCAAGCAAAAATGACACATCAATGCAAAATAACAATGTATCTGTGTGTCTGGGTATGTGTGCGTGTGTCTTAACTCTGACAATTTAAATGTGCCTTATTTTAAACGTCAGGAAAATATAAAAAATGTACAAAAGTAGCTATAGCTTAGTTTATGAATGAATTGTCTTTATACTAAAATTGATAATTTTTTGCACTGATGAAGACACATAGCCGAAACGCATACGAAATAATTCATGAATGTTCGTATTTGTGTGGCTTGTATGTTTATTTTGTCTTTATTCTCGGACACAACTCGTTTTGAGGACAGACCTTCAAGTGGATGAGACTTACATTAATCTTGAGTCATAAATGACCTTGTTTTTCAAGGTAAATTGTTACATGCTGTAACTAGCTGTCCAGGAACCAGTAGAGATATTAATAATACTAATACTATATTAGTAAAACAGTGTATTTAAATTTGACACTGATAGGAAGTTTGGTATAATGTAGTCTCTTTATATTTGAAATGGCTTCAGAAGAATTTTTTTCACAATGGCTATAGATTTATTATTTATGAATGAATTATCCTCATATATAGACACAGCAGTCCTTCAACTTGATAAGCCTAACATCGATCTTGATTCATAAATGACCTTTACTTTCCACGTCTTGTTATTCGTGTGTGTGAAAGTTGCTTCAACTTTATTATTATCTCAGGACTTGTTAGATAACAGATGATTATACTCTTTCACCAAGATAATTTATTGCACTTAATATGGGTGCAAACATCATAAAGGCCCCGTTCAAATTGGCTTCAGACAACTGTAATAGTTAAGGTGGTATGTGGACTATGAATGACTTTCAGTAATAGTTCTAGTTATCTTATACTAATGACTTGAGGTTAACTTAGTTTATGTAATATAATAAGCAGGGATATTCATCCCTGCAAATAAAACTGATGGCAAACATGACCTGAATCAATTGTACTATTAGAAATGGTATACATTCGTTTTTCATGATGCAATTAATTTGTATTTAACTGTTTAATCATCTTGTAGGTAACAGATGGGGAGCATTACTTATAGCAGGAACCGATGCTGATGACGATTAAGTAGCAAAAGCGCTGACTCAAGATGTTATGGACTTGAAAAGGGTTTTGATATCTCAAGCACCTCGAGTATTTGGAATCAGGTCTGTATGTTGATGACTGTCCGCATGATCTAAAAAATTGCATGATTGGCCTGATCATAAAACGTTGTCTATTTGTCTGTCTATCTTCATGAGATTCTATATGAATTTTTCACAGGCTGTTTGGAATAAGTTCATTGATAATAGTTAAGGGCAGTAATGACTCTCTGTCATGTTTTCACTAAAAATTGTTTCGTCGAAGGAGACATCCATTGTTTTAATATTGTTTTAATTATTTTTCTTGCAAATTACAATTACAGTACATTGGATGGAATGTTGTCATAAAAAAGGTAACGCGTTCATTACAGGCACGAGAATGACATTATTGTAAATCGCGCTATTCATCTTACAATATATAAGATGTTGTGTAAAATTGCATCCTCCTGCACCTGTTAAAACACTGGAAAATCCAGTATGAAAATTTCATTCAATAATATTTAATAATTCTAATCCAATTTTACAAAAATGATAATTGTTTGATCATTTAAACGTAACTAACCATCAAAGAAATCGGTAAAATTTATAACAAACTGACCTATCCCTGTTTGCCCCTGCTTAGTTTTTAACTAATGTAAACATGTTCATTTTCTCTATAGTGAAAGAAACGTACGTACAGTTGTACCGAGTACCCTACACAATCTACATGACAAAGAAGAATTATGGCCTAAAACCAAAGACTGCATTAGACACTTTAGTGAGACAACAGATATAGATACCCTGCTTATATTTTTATCCTGTCATGGGACAAAAACAAAAGAGCCACAAGATGGTCAGTTTCAATTAGGCTCAAATGAAGACGACAATATCAGTCTAGAAAATTTTGAAAAAGAATTAGAACGTTTGGAAAATATTGAAAAATTGATAGTAGTGTTGGATCGATGCTATCCTCCTGTGATAAGATTTAAGAAAAGGGAACGAATTTACGTTCAGATAAACTCTTGCAAGGGGGATCAACAGGCTAAGATGGATCGTTATGGGAGCATCTTCACAAGATTTTTTATAGGAGGTTTAAAAGCAAAGTCGGAAGGAGGACAATGTTCCGATAAATGTGAATGTTGTATAGAGTACTGGAATAAAAGTACAGATTTTATAACTGTTGATAACTTATTTGACTATGTCAGTTGTCATTTAAGTGAACAAACGCCAACCCGTCATACATGCTTGCATCATCACAGCAGCAATATTGCATTTTTTACCGGAGTTACAGTGGAAATAAATTTCAACTGTAAAAACACCTCCACAGGTACAAAAATACCACTTGAGTACCTGAACGATATAGACCAATTGAAAACAATATTGAAGAAACAGTTTAAACGTAAGTATTTACTTTTGTTTAAAGCATTTTTATATAAGTACAGATGAAGGAGTTTGCATGGCACATATTGCTCTTGTTGATTAACTTTCAGTCTAAGATATATTGATGAGACTCCAAGACTTTGATCATAGCAATTTAATCACTTTCTAAGGAATTGAAGAATCATTCATTTACAAATTGTCAAAGTAATCTGAACTTAACTAAACATTAACATGTATGAATAGGCAATTATGTTTTACCTGAACTTAAAATTTGATATAATCATTGTTGTTTTTTTTATTTCAGGAGAAAACGTGACTGATGCGTGTATAAGTAGAAATACATTTAGGAAAAGGAAGGGAGACATTGGGCAAGTTTGTGACATCCTAGAAAAGGTGATGTTAGCTTGGGTGCTACGACAGCCATTGGAAGTTGCTTTTAGTTCTGAATAAATAATCAGTTTCTGGCTGTTGGCTTATTGGTTTCTTTTGCTTTCTTTGAAGAAGTGACATCTGATATTCAAAATGTTCGATATTGTTATAAAGAATCAGTGGTGGACACACAGTTTATGATCTTATGAAAATTGAAACCTTTTTAATTTGTCTTTACATTACATGTCGCGTAAGTAATCACAGAACATTTTGCACATAAAAGGGAACAAAGTAGCAGAGCGTTATTTTTCATCAGATCGTTTTGCATGTAACAAATATTTTTTCTATGTTTCTTTATCTAACCCAATCAAACTGAAATGTGCCGAATAACTCAACAGTTAGATTGCAACTCAAAATTGTTGTAAATTTTTAGATATGTTTTTGCTTTAGATTTAACAATTTCATTAGTTGAAATTGTCATTCTTTATCTTTATGAAAAGGTAAATAGTATCAGAACGGCCTTTAAAAGTATATGTCAGTATCATGTCATATTATACATTTTTGAATGGTTGATATTAAGATCTAGCACTTGTACTTTTAGAGGTAAAATATTTGAGTGCTTAAACTAAATATCATAATACATGCGTACGTGTTTAAAATTCTATTGAAACAACCAAACTCTGCATATGCAAAACGTATTTATATATCATGTAATGTAATGTTTTACTATAACAGATTTTTTTTTTGTGATAAAGAAAAATATTGTGTTAATTGCGTTTTGAATAATTATTCAGATTTTATTCAATCATTGGCTGAGGTCTAGATTTAAAATCAGTTTACTAAGTCCATGACCATATCGAAAAGGTCTGAGTGCCATAGGTATAAGTACTCAGTATAGCTAACATTTAGGAATTTTGAACAGATTTATGGTATCTCTTCTGTATCAACCAAACAAAAACGACTATTTAATGTCGTTGTCAATCAGTAGGGTAACCTACACTTTAGTTCTATGAACGAGGACAAGATATATCCTCATTATCCTGAATGCATAGTGTGCAAATAAAAAAATCTGGAAAATATAAGTATTGATTTTCGCTTAATTCAATCTCTCGTTAAACGTATACGTCTACGTATTGCGATAAAAATGCATTTTGTGTATAACATAGGACCTGACATTAAGCGCATTTTCCGAGAATAGAAATTTTTGTATAGATATTTTTAGTAATTTAGAAACTTTATATAGACATTAAGCCTCTTCAAGTGTAAGTTTTGAAAATACAAAAACAAATGTAACATAACTACGTTTTGCCATAATTGTTTGAAATGCTTATGACCATTGTACTTTACAAATTATTGGGAACAACTGTATCACTTAAAAAAACAATGACTCATAGAGTTAATTCAACAACTAATATAACAATTGTGTTAAATATGCCATGCTTGTTAAATTAAAATCATCATGCTGTTGTTGTTGTTGTTGTTGTTGTTGTTGAACAATAAAACTATAAAATCCTATGGATTTGAATACCATTTTATAGAATTAAGTGGCAAGTTGATAGATCTATGGTGCTAATCTGAATAAATAGCCAATTAATCATTTTTTTTCACGTCATTTCAGTCTGCACAATGTAACTGATTGTTTTTGTCTCGAATAATGTATTTTTTTTGAAAATATTATATATTATTGTATACTAGAAAATTATATCAATGCTTCTACTTACAAACAATGATATAAGAGGTTTTATCAAATGACATATCATCCCAAATTGTTTCATAGGGAGAGCACTTAAGTTCGCAGTGGTAACCCTGGGGCGGAACAATAAAGATCTGTTACGGTTAACCCTTATGGTCATTTGATTTATAATTCAGGATAGATTTTAAGAATAGTAGTCAGTCACTTGCACATATAAGATGCCCTGAAAATTAATTGAGATGAAGCGATCGTCGGGAACTGACCACATGTGTTGCAATTGTCATGAGGACCAATCAAATCAAGTAAATTAGAAGTTCGTGTAAGAGGAAAGCAATCTATGGTTAAAACAGTACCCGTTTATAGAATCGAATATGTTACCTCAGTAAATAAATTATATGTTTTTGTCGCTATACTGGTATTTACGATACATTGCAAATTAATGTCAACATATTGGACGCTATTATTTGTTTTTAATGATGAAAAGTCATAAGTACGATCGTGAAAAAATGTCGAAAGTATGTTGTTTTGTTATTTTGACTTTTCACTATCGTACTTTTGAGTTTTCGTCATTGTACCTTCGATTTTCCACTTTTTTGTTTCGTTGTTTCGACTCATGTCGTATGTTCGTGTAATGTGATATGTACCGCGATGCCCATAATGGACACGGTAACTGATCTATCCCACATTTTTTAAAATTTAATGTTGAAATTGATACATTTCGGGCGATATTTCCGATATTTAGACAAATCCTTGGATGTCGTTAATTCTTTATAATTTTTGCGTAATGAAATGTAAAATTAAAGCAAAATTTAAAGTAATTTTGATTTTTTTTCACTGCATTTACAAATTATATATGGATGAACATTATGTTTCTTTAATAACTATATTAAAAACATGACTAAAACATACTGATTTTCCTAGATAACATTTGCTCATTTATACATTTTGGTTAAACAGATACTTTATGTGATCAAGCTTAAAAGTTCTTTGCAAGAATAAAAAAATATTTTGGTCGCAAATTGTATTATATACCGATGAAAAATATAGCAAATTGCTTTTCCCCATGTTCTTGAAGTGTCTTAGTAGAATCACATGAATAAAGGATAAGTTAGAGTTAAACGTCGAATTAAACTTATTTCTTGGAGAAATCGGCAAAATATTTAAGGCTAAATTACAAGAATTTTTTAAGTAGATAGTTTGAGGCGAATTAGGCAGATTTTAACAAATTTCGTAAACCACTCGATGTTACCTAATTATGCACATATAACCATTCTTGTTAGAAATGTTTCGCATCGCGTAATTCAAAAAGATAAACATTATAAATGAACAGATATACCAAAGATATTTTACAGACGGAACTGCTATTACTCGCTGTAGTTAATAGGTTATATATTTAGATAGTCGCCATAGATATTTATATAAATTTCCAAATGTTTAAGAACAACTGTATCTATTAACAAAAAAAAATACAAAAGGGACGCTTAGAGTTATTTCAACAACTAATGTAACAATCTTGTTCAATATGCCATGTTTGTTAGATAAAAAGCATCCTGTTGTTGTTGTTGTTGCTGTTGTTGATATTTAATGTTGTTTTTTGTTGTTGTTGTTGTAACGAGTTTGACACATATAAAAAATGAACAATAAAATTATAAATGTCCTATGAATTTGAATACGATTTTATAGGAATAAAGTGACAAGTTGATATATCTATTTGCTAATCTGAATAAATAACCAATTAATCATAGTTTATTTCACGTCATTCCCATCTGCACAATGTATCTGAGAGGTTTTGTCTGGAATATTGAAAATTTATTGAAAATATGCAAAAAGAAAATATTATCTATTTCTTGTTATTATGGTGCAATACTCGGGTGAAGCGATAAATGTCTGTTACAGTTAACGCTAATGGTCATTTGTCTTCTACCGCTGATCCGGAAAGACTGGTGGAATAGAAGTCAGTCAATTGCAGAGAATATGTTAAATACTGGTAAGATGTCCTGAAAATCCATTTAGATTGGCGATTGTCGAGAAATGACCACATATGTGTTGCAATTGTCATAAAAAAACTAGCAGTATCAAGTAACCTAGAAGTGTTAGAGGAAAGCAATCATGTTCAAAAGAGTACCCATTTATAGAATGGAATACGTTAACTCTAAAAAGATATGGTTTAATAGCTGCGCTAGTATTTGCGATACATTGCAAAGTTATTTCAACATATTGGAAGCTACTTTATTATTATTATTATTATTATTATTATTATTATTATTATTATTATTATTATCTTCATTCTTTTTAATGATTTGAAGAAGAAATACGATGAAGAAAAATCGAAATAATCAACGTTGAAAGATCGAAACTACGTATGTCATCATATATGGCAAACTCTGGAAAACTAAAGAAGAGGAAGAATACATTAAAACTGATATTACATAATGAAAAAGTCTCTTCACTAATGCTTTACATGCTTTCAGTAATTATATGATAATTTAAAGCAACCTCCCGTGTAAAGATATGTCAAACTACGAGAGTGTTACACTGTATTGGCATATTATAATTCTTAATAATCATTTAAAATAGTATCACTAACTGGACGCAGTTTTTATAATTATTTTTATATGAACACGTCGAGTAATTGTATCCTCATACGGAACTTGAACATACAATCAAAGATGTTATCATTTCAATTCTTGAAGACGTTTGAACACGACATTATTTTTTCCTTCTCAAAGTTCCATTTTATTTAGTTTCAACCTTTGCTTTCTCGATTAGGTCACATGCATTCTTTAACTCGGAACATACGCCACTTTTCATGGAATGGCACTAACGTGGCTCATTGATAGTTGAATGAAAACAAACATGTAAACAAATTTGCGTCTGTTAATAAATTCAAATTTTAAGCATTACCTTTTCTAAGTGTTCAATTCTACTTAAGCCGGTGCAAGGGGGCGTATATGGTAA